GCCTTGAAACTGGAAGAAGAAATGGAGAGAGAAAGAGAGAATTTCAGAGAATTGTTTTTTTTTTTAAATATTCTAAGATGATAATTGTATGTTATGATTGGCCATTAATGGAGACAGGCGAGAGAAACTATATTCGTCGATGAAATGACGGAAATACCCTAGCCGCCGACGACGACGACTTCATTTTTTTTTTTGCTATGTAATTAAGGTTCACTAATCCTTATAATTTTGGCTGTAATAGATATAAAATTTGATATTTTGATGTAAATTAGATCAATTAACCAACACAAGATGTCAACCAAAATCTCACATGCAAGACACGACAAAGCCAGATATATAACGCAAGTCACAATCTAACACGATCTCTTGTGTCTCTTTGATATTGTACTAAAATCAAGTATTTATATGAATATATATCCCGAAACAAGCATTCGATTATTACTACTTTTACACAAAACGTGATGACCATTTTAAATTGTTGCTTCTGGCAAGCTACATGCACCAACACGAATCAAGACATTGTCTTTCAAAATAAACATTTAATACAAAAATAACAATAATTATCCTTATATTGTGATCCATGAACATAGGAAAAATTGCATAAATAATCTTCAAAGTAAAAGTTTCTATCACGTTAAATTTTGGAAAAATTCCACTCTCAATATAAACCTTCAACCTAATAATTTTCACTTTTAAAATCTTCAAACTAGTTTTCGAGTTTCCGTCAACAAATAAGTTGTGAAAATTATTAGGTTAATGGTTTACATCGAGTGTTAAACTCGATACGCATTTCGCGAGCAGTTGGAGGTTTAGTGCGATGCTTTTTGATAATTAATTTGTTGTCAACTACTTTTTGGTTAGCTATATAAACTAACAGAAAAGTTGACTTTATTTCTTAAGTTGTATTTGATATTTGTAAATATTGTCTGGTTGCGAGGAGGGAAGCGGTCAAAAACCATATCAAAGGCGAGGTGTTCCATCTCAGTGGATTTGCAGCGCCGACTGTGGTTGGGTTCATCATTGAACGTCATAAGCGGCGATTCATGGCGTTATTTTTTGTTGTGTGTGTTCATCCCAAAAGCTGGAGATCCATACATAGGAGTTCTCACACTGTGGCATACTGATCCATCATTACGATTGGATTTGATCACCTCGGTTTTGATCACGATTATGTTTAGGTTGATCCAGGGTCTTCATGACACATAAGACAATTTTTTTTATAATTCTGTAGACATTATCGATTTTCCAAATGTTCATCGTTTTTTTTTTCAATTTTTTTTTTGTATCCTAAAAGTTAAGTAAAAACAAAAAATTGAAATACTTTTTTCACTTTTGTTAAGTATGTTTTAAAAAAATCTGAAACCCAATTGTATTCTTATTCGATTTTCAAATCAATGTTTACAAATATGGTTCAAAAAAATTTTATAATTAGATTTTGAAAAGTAATAAAGTTTATTATTGAATCCAAAAATAACCCTCAATATATCTTAAAAAAAATAAAAATAACTTTGACAAAGAAGAACATATATAATAAAATAGCTAATTACCAATATCATCTCGTCGATGCGTTTGAGCTTCATCTTCGTTCTTCTATATTGGGATAGTCACGACTAGATAACATTGTATCAGTTGTGGTGGAAAAACCCTTCGAAAACGATGGACAAAACTTAGAGCTGCTAACCAAACGACTACCACAATGTTTATATTCGTCCCTTTTAGCCTTGAGGCAAATTCGTCTTTCAATTTCTATGTACAGTATTATTGTGGTAAATTTTGAAAAAAATTTTGGATTATGGTAGATTTTGAGAATACATGATATTTTAGGTAAATTTTAAATAATTTTGGGTCGAGAATATTTCCTATTCTAAAATATTAGAAAATTTATTGTGATTTCTTAAATCGGCCTCGCGGGCATAAAGTATAACATGATTACTTGTAAGAGGCCCACGATTATTGGCTATTACAAAGGCCCATCAGAAAATTAAGATATGAGGGCAATCAAAAAATATTTTCTTAAGAATTCATTTTACCTCGTTCTCAATCTACATTCAACTCACGATATGATCCTACGAAGTACGATCAACAACGCTACTCCAAAATCTTTTTCTAATCCCAAGAGACCATTTTATCTCAGAAATTTTTGCCTGACCTTTTAAAACTAACAAACTTTTTCTAAGTAAAATTACGTAGAGAAAATCAGCAAACACTTTGTGTGAAGTCATCTGTTAAAACAGCAACATCATGCATGCATGCATGTGTTAAATAATGTTCATCCATCTGTTGAACTCATGATTTTTGTCTTCCTCCTTGACTTAAACTCGTCCAAGAAAAGAAGAAAGTCGTGAGAATTTACGGTTAAATGGCCAAATTTGAACTCAAATTCATACCTTGACGGTACCGGTAGATTATGGTTCGGAATTGTCTCGGGTTAAAAAATTATTACATATATTGCCACTGGTTTCAATTCAAATAAAACTTTCACAAAAAAAGGGATTGCTTTTTGTAAGCAAACAGAACCGGGTCCTAACTTTATCGGTGTTTATGTTTTAATCATTGCTATAATAGAAAGAATTAAATTAAGTGGTGGATCCACGAATATTAACATTTTAATATGAAATTAAATTATACAAAGAGATGGTGATGTGGCCATGCAGCTTTTTGTTTTATTATTTGTGTAGGCCCTTCAATAGTTTGTTGAGACTTCGAAATCTTGGAATTAAAGCTTCTCAATTTCTAGGTCAAGCGTACATGTGAAGTCATTTTTATTCGCAAAATGCAAATACAATCAAATTTTATCATCTTTAATATAATAATATCCTTCCTTAGGTTACATGCAAGATTTATTTGCGCATAAAACAAAACTATTTTATATTTATACGATCAAAAAAACCGAGCTAAATCAATACTAATATTTTCATGAATGAGGTCAGTAATTGCACGTACATCAAGTCGACACGTGGCAACTATACAAAACTCGACAATTTTCAAAAAAAATCCCTGAAAAATTCCTCAAAATTGAATAAAATGATTAAAATGAAACAGAAAGATACGCAATGAAACTGCGTATTGAAGCAACAACTGCTAAATAAATTGCTAC